AAAAAAAAAAAGTTCATATCTGGCCACTGGAGAAATGCAAATCAAAGCTACATTGAGATTCCATGTTACTCCAGAAAGAAGGGCTATCATCAAGAAATCAAATAACAAATGCTGGTAAAATGAAGTTGTCTTCATGGGTCTTGAAGGTGTGAACCTGGGTACTGTATCTGTTACCTAGCACCCTCTTCTCTGACTCCCTTCTTTTGTGCTTTGCTGTCCAGGGGTTATTAAGTCAGAAACTTCCCCCAGTAAACATATTTAAAATAGACAGACTATAATGAGACTTATATCTGCCTATGTACAGGGAGAGACGTAAGAGTTCTTACAGCAAAATTATAAAAATATTAATATACAAATGTAGTAGATTAATGGTCAACTTGAAAAACCCAGATGAACTGAATCAATGTCATTCTGGATGTGGAAGGCCCACATAAACATTGTGGCCAATAGCATAAAAAGAAAATGGAGGGAAGATAGTCCCCTCTTGATTCTCCTGGAGAAGCTTGTCATGCTGGCTTTCCTGATATGAACTTGCCTGTTTGCATCATCCAAGGAGCTTAGAGTCTTGCTATTTCTGGGGATGGGTATTGCTTTTTGTAGGCAGCTCTGATTCTTACCTTGAGCGTACCTTCCTAACTCCAGTGAAGATCCCTCAGCCTGCTGGCACAGATTCTTTACCTTGCTGGTGTACTTTCTAGTTACCATCACACACCTTTGGACATTCTCTGCACAAAACCTTAATACAGACTTGCATTAGACATTCTTGTGGGCTCTGGGCCTCCAGATGCACTCATACCGAACATTGCCATGGGATCCAGGCCCTCAGCTGGATTCTTTGGGTCTCTAGGGTGTGGACAGATCTCTTGAAATCCTTTGCATTTGACTGAGTGAATATCATAAAATAATCCTATAAATTGTATGTCCTCTGTGATTATTTCCCTTGCAAACCTTGACTACAGCAACATATAAAGAGATGTTCAAAAGTAAATAAATATATATATTCAAATACCATGTTGTATCACTTTTTATCAAACTTCAAAATATTTCCATTTAAAATATTTAGTATTGATGAGAAGTTAAAAATGTTACACAAACATGTGAGCTCTTGGCCCATTACCTGCCACTTACATAATATAATGTTATGTGTGTATCACCCATGAGCTGGCAATGTTTTTTATTCTACAGAAATAATCTTACAGGTATTCAAAGAATCACGTACTATACAATGATATACATAAATTCTTAAGACATTTTTGTATTTCTGAGCCTTTAAAATTAATTGAGAAAGTGATGTGTATATGTTGCTACTTTTTTTGAGTGCAAAGACAGTTGACCGACTGTGTCAACCTGAATAAGATATTCCCTTCAACCTGCTCAGTATAGTTCTGGTTGTGGAATATTCACCCTATGGAGGATTATCCCAAGAATGTTAGGAAAGGAAAACAAAAAAGGAAAGATTGCTTCTATCTCCTTTGGAGGGGTACCTATTTTTGCTTTCACTTAAGGTGGGAATCATCTTCTGGATTTCAGCACAAACTCAACAGCTTTCCACCACAGACTCCCCAGGCTTTCAGCCTCCTGACATGAAGGTTTGAGCTCTAGGCCTTCACCTGGATCCTTTGGATCTCCAGGGTACAGACAGACCCTTTGCACTCTTCCTCATCTAACTCTGTGGGTAATCCTTATAAACCAATCTTGTAAATTTATATACATTTGTCTTGTGTTA